CTTTTAATTTATTACAGGTTTCAGTTAATCTCAAATTCATTCGTACACTAGATCCAGTATTTAGAACAGAAAAGTGATTGACAGGTGCTGCTTGAGCTTTTCACTCTTCTGTCCAAACGTCTTTTTTTTTCTTCTAAAACCGACTGAACCAGAGTTAAAGCTCCACTTACATCAGAAACCTCAGCTGTCTCCACAGTTAAAGCACAATGCCTGATTGTTCCTTTGCACTTAGCCATTAGGAGAATTGGTGCTACGACCAGCTCACTGCGCAAATACTGTATGCCTGGCAAGGATGAGCTTATAACCTGTGAGCTTCTACTGTGTAGCTTGATCTCAGTCCAGCAGAATGAAAATCACTCGGTGAGAATCTGCCAGGAGGGCCTGCTTATAACCATGAATGGGATGCATGTGGAAGCTGTGATTGTCGTTTACTGATACATGACTGGCTGGAAATGCAGCATCAGCGTATAGGCATGGACTGTGTAGCTTCTCCTTTACTTAATACGTAATGTCATATTTCTTTAACCTTGGACCCTGTTATAAATCTACTTTAAAGGGAAAATTTACACAAATCACTCACTAAGAAATCCCCCTCGCTGGTATCTATGTGTCCCAACCTGCTTCTCTGTCTGATGCTGACCATTTACAAGCTCCAACGCAGCATCTTTAAAGGCACAAACGTCCTTTTTTTATCTTGTAATTTGTAATAATTCACAGACCGTGTTGCTGAATGTAAAGAAAACAAAGCTGTTGACAGTGAAGTCTGTGAATCGTTGTTTCTGGAAAGAGACAACGGTTTTCAGTCGCTTCATGTTATTTTTTAATGCGTTGAGCATTGAATTATTTTAATTTAATTTAATTTTGCTGAACTGGGGCGAGTGCAGGAGTCCCAGAAATCACCTCTGACATGATTAGATACCACTAAGGGTTCAGTTTTGACATTTTTATCTTGTGTGATTTGGGTGAAATGACCCTTTTTGTTTTTGACTTAACATTTGCACTGGAAGCTGCGTTAGAAAACCTCACCAAACCTGCATGGCATCTTCTCTCTGGTAACCGTAGGTGCACTGTGAAGTACTGTGTGTAGTTTTGTCCTTCAGACGTGGGTATGACGACTAGATACGATACTGTAATATAATATATGACACTAGATGTAGTTTTCCTATTTGTCAGTATTTATTTTCTTCAAATGAAACAAAAGTTTTTGTGTAATCTTACAAACATTAGAGTTTATGTTCTGTTGTCAACGGAAAAATTGTCATTAAAAAAAGGGATATATAATTGTGTACACTACATTGTAGGTGTCCGGCAAAAGTAATTTCTTTCTAATAAATATATGAAGAGTTTATTTGCAAAAGCAGATAACTCCCATTTTTGTAGATTTGCAGAAAACTTATTTTTTTCTTGTTTGCTTGAGATAATATCAAACTGAAGCTGAGTGGATGTGACTCAGTAGAAATTACATTAAGCAAACTTATTGATATTGTCTCAGGTAGATGATGGAAACGTGGGCTTTCTGAAGGTTTGTGAAGATGGAGGTATCTGTTTTTGCAAATGAACTCTTCACATATGTATATATTGTCTACAGTGGGCATCGTTTTATATGCACGACAAACATTCAGCATAAATGAACAGGTTAAATGGTTTCTGCAGGATACCAACAATGTTTGACTTTCTGGGACTCTGAACCGTGCAGGAGCTGATCCGTCCTCTTTCCTTTGTTGCCCTCAGGTGGACAAACTGGAGGAGACAGAAAGCCAAAGGAAAACCGAAGAGGAGGTGACGGAGCCTCAGCCGATGGTGTTTGGTAGGTTTACAGGCAGCACGCCGCCGTGAGGAGCAGACGGTTGTGGTTTCTGGTAGAAACTCTAAAAAGGTAGAGTCAGTGGTAGCGGTTTGGTCCACTTTTATGTTGAATTCAGTGAACATGTCCCCTCTGTTTGCAGCTTCGTGTGCCTTTAAAAAAAACTGATCATGCACTACACTGGCTCTCTAAATGGAATAAACGAGCTGTGACCATCATTCCAGCGTGACCTGTGCACATTGGTGTCAGTGACAGGAGGAAAGGTGCTTCTAAATATGCTAACTTGCTAAATATCAACAATCTCTCTCCAGAGTCGCGGACACCAACTTTACATAAATGTGCACTGACTGGATGAAGCCAACTGTAAAGTGAATCTGTCTCCTTGGTTTCAGTCAAACTTGGGAAATTTTGAGCGCATTCATTTAGTCATCTGTAGAAATATTGTACTGCTGTTACTGTTCCCGTATCTTAGGATTGATCATTTTCCTCCGTGTTTAAACTGGACTTTATTCTATGAATCAGATCAGCCTTTTTATAACGACCTATAGAGGCTTTTTCAGGTTCAGAATTTGGCATTTGGTGGTGACACAGCTTCCACTGCAAGCTTCACACTGTACAGACAGTCATGGTCGAGCCTTTTTCTGACTTCACAAGGAAAATATTGTTGAATTTGCGGCACTGAAAGGCGTCCTTGTCCTCCTGATAACGTGACCGCCCGCCTTGACGCGGTCGGTGCAGCAGAGTCACTGACATTGACTTTACTGGCCGAGGAGCGCAAAAAAAAAGTTCAACAAATGATCTCTGTTAAGTGTGATGAACTAAACAGTGCAGCCCTGTTTGGTAGAAAAGCTCAGACGTGTATCTGTTGGTGTGTAACCCTGTATGTGTGTGTTTGTGTTTGTGTGATCAGGCCAGCAGCTGATGTTGACCTCCTCTCCGGCTCCGGTGGCTCCCCAGCCGGCGTACCCGGGATACGGCTACCCTCCTGCCGCCGCCGCCGCCGGCTACCCCGCTCAGCCCGCTTATGGCTTCAACATGTAGAGCCCCAACTCCTCCTCTCCTCTCTGTCTCTCTCCCCTCTCCCCCTCCTCCCACACTCACCCTGAACCACACTGAAACGTGCTGCTCTGGGTCTCAGCCGGCCGACTCACTGGGCCTTCATCTCCCAACGAGACTCCACCCGAGTTCACCTGAAACTGCAATAGAAGCCCTGCACCTCTAGTTTCTCCACACCCGGTGTAGAAGGGTGGCATCAAGGCTGTCGGACCCTCCCCTCCTTCCTTCCTTCCTTCCTTCCTTCTTCCCGCCCTCCCTTGGACATTATACCTGCATCACTGATCTCCACAGCATGAAGTCGCCTCTCAGCTCCTAGAGGAATTAACATACTGAAGATAACATGAGTTACACCGAACCACTCTGTCCTGTTGCTGTTCCATGTAGACTTTGGTAACAATAGAGCAGCTTTTTTTTTTCTTTTTTTGTTTTTCTTCCATTTTCTTTTCAGCACTGATGAAGAAGAGACTTTACCGAGGAGCGTAGGGGAGCATGTGTGTCTCCCCTCCCTCCTTTAAAGCACTGTTACGGCCTTACGTACGTTGAGGAGGAGGCGGCAAAAAAAACAAACAAACGGGCTCATTTGTTCAATCTCACGACTGTCTTCATGCTCTGATTAGAAAAGACGGTTACTGTGCAATAGTTTTGTTTGTCCTTTCACAACAGGTACAAAGTGTTTACTGTATACGGACTGAAGAACACTTGTTCATGAGGTTACAGTCAGTGTGTGTGAGTGTGTGTGTGTGTGAGAGAGTGTGTGTAGCCTCTAAAGCCTTCGTCACCAAACCAAGAGACACTCAATGAAATTCCCCCCACCCCTGCCCCCTCCCACCCCCCAAAATCGCAGCCGCAAAACCTTTCGCTGGGTCAGAGCGGGTGGTCATCCGGACATCTGGACATGGTTGTGACAAAACAGACAAAATACAGAAAGAAAGCAGGTGAAATAATAATAATGATAATAAAAAAAACAACAATTGCTGTATGCTGTAGACTGTGCATGTGCTGCCAAACTATAATGCTGCAACCAGGAGCACAATTTCCATGTTACACTCAAGTATATCCAGTATTACTAATGTTGTGTCCAAGTGATGTACGATGAAACTTTCTCACCCAAACTAACAGTAAAAACGGTGATGAAGCTCCAACAGACCTGAGGAGGTGAAAAACACAGGGGAACATTCGCTCACATCCTGGTGCCAGCTGGTTTAAAGAAAAAGAACAAAAGAAAAATCATTATTGTACTGAAAACAGTGTATAATTTAAATATATTGAAATACCTAACTAATCAAAGAAGTCAAATATTATTGAATACCGTATGTATTGTCTATAGTGTGTTGTTGTAGTCTTTAAAAGAAAAAAGAAAACCATAATGATTTTTGTAAGAAAAAGGACAAAATGCAAAAACAGCAGGTTAATAAAAGTCTGGAGGCGAAGCTGCGTGAAGTGGAAGAAAAGCCTGAGCTGCGCACAAAGCACTCCCTTTATCTGCACAAGTCCTGCAAACAGAAAGAGGAATAAAGTTTACACAAGGTGATGTTTGGTGCCTTTTTTCCTCCTCCTACATCATGAGGAGCTCTGTGGAGTTCTGTCTCTTTGCTTTTTGGAGGTGTTGGGGGGTTTATTCGAGCCATTTTCTCCTAGAGGCAGACTGACATTTTGGTTACCAGCCTGCCAGCACCTGATTGATGGCTTCTGTCTCAGTGAGAGCCGCGCTTTGTTTGGAGAGGGTGTGGTTGGGCTGGTTGGACCCACAACTCGCTGCTGCTGCTACTGTGGAAATGCGTGGGTTTTTGTTTTTAATTTTTGGGCATCAAACGATTTAACAAGAAGGCAATGAGATGTTGTTGTCGCTTGTTGAGCTGCATTCATATGATAACAGACGCGCACACAGAGACGGGAGAGGCTGCGCCCCGCCCTGTTTTCTGTTGTGGAAAGAAAAAGTGGCCGCTTTCTCTCCCTCTGCGCGCCACACTGACACCCATTAACCCGTGCCACCCACCAGGATCGGTCATTCGCTTTACGTGGCGATGGTAAAGTTCCACGCAGCAGCAGCAGCAGCAGCAGGATACAGCGACGAGCCCGTATCCGTCTTTTTCTCGCTTCCGGTTTGCTTTGCGCTCTTACGCACGACCGTCGTGACACCGCGTAACCATGGCTACAAATAACATATATTGGATGTAGATGATCCCAACTTCCTTGACAGCCACAGTATCCGCCCACTGTCAACACGGAGAGCCGCTGGAGGCTTCGGACGCGGCAGAAACTCCCCGCATCCAAAGCGCACCGGACAGCCGCCTTCCATCCATGTGTTGCGCGCTTCACTTTACTTGAAAAAAAAGAACTGAAGCTGCATAGTTAAAGCTAAACCACATTAATATACAATCTTTTTTGTGTGTTGTTGTGTATTTAAGCGTAATTATGCAGGATAAAGGCACATTTATCAGCCCCTTTTACAGACCGAGGTGTCTGGCGGCGGCGGCTCCGGCAGGAAAAGCGAAATTAACTCACCCGGGGAAGGCGATCCTGGCAGGTAAGAGCAACATGATTTGTTCCACGGAGAAGTCAAGTGTGGCACAATATGTCACCGGTTATACGAGTTACAGTAAAGTCACGGTTGGATGAAACAGATGTGCGGGTTTCACATAGTTGGTGTGAGCTTGGTTCTGGTGCGCAAAGTGGGTTTAACAATATTTAATACTGTAAAGGATTAAAACAAAGACAAACAGTTAAAGAAAACTTCTTCAAGTTGCTCATTGAGGGGAAACAGCTGCTCAGCACAGACTTGCTGGAGTCTGCAGTAATATTAAGAGATTATCAGAGATGTTGAGTTGGTGTGTGGTGGTTTGCAGACACAAGTTTAAACTCAAAGTATCACAGACAAGTGAAAACAGGATTTCTGCACAATACAGTGTTCATGTTTTCCATTATGTTGGTCCAAATCACTTCTTTGCTTTTTTATCTGAGAGCTTGAGGTTAGAGGAGCTGCACATAATACAAAGTGTGCAGCTGCAGTGTGTGTTTCTAGACAATGAGCTGGTGAAACAAGGCACTTCTCCAGAGTTGCCATTTTTGAACTGATGATCCTTGAAGTTGTTGCTGTTCAGAAATGATCTTGAACCCTCGGTGCTCTCAGAAGAAGGCAGCTCCTCTTCTGTTCCTCTGTCTTGTCGTGGTGGTCAGGCCTCGGCTGCTGCACTGATTTGATTTCATCCTACTAATCTGAAGATCACCTCCAGTGCACTTTACATAATGCTGTTAGAGCAGAGTAATGCATGCGGTGCCGGACGGGACGCTGCCCTCTGAGACAGTCCACTGGTGCCGTTCACCGTCTCGGGTTCGTGTGGTGGAGATCAGAGAATGGAGAAATGCATTTCACACTGAGGACATGATCTGATGTTTTCTCCTGGTTATCATGGAAGTGCAGAACTCACATTTCTCCTGAACACTTTAAAAGGATTTCTTGTGCACAACTCGACTAAATCCGTCTCCAGCTGCTAAACAAACCTTGTGGTGTGACTGTTTTTCCTTCATTTCATGTTGCTGTGCAGCTTTGATTTATTGGTGATGAAGCAATAGTGCCAGAGTTTATTTATCTCTTCTGTCAGGTTTTCACTCCACAGTTGCAGCAGACATTTGTTTATTTTTTGGAATCCCTGGTTAGTCAAATAAAATTTCAAAAACATAGAGCCAAAGCCAAAAGATTTGCTTAATTTATAAACATGAAACTGAGGAATCCTTGCACTGGTTTGTTTTTTCTACATGACAAATGACAGAACCAGTTAACTCGATCAGTTTATTTATCAATCAGCACCACTCCAGTCGTGCCTGTTTTACCGGTTTAGAAGCTGCCCCTCTCCCCTGCTACTTCCCCCTACAACAGCCCCTTGACCTCCATGTGTGCTGATGATCAGGCTGCAGCAGCTCCGGCTGATGGAGAGCCTCTCTGAGGTGCTCTCGTATTAAGGCTACATGCTGATATCTGGCAGCACTCTGCACTGATTTCAGCTTTGTGCTCTGGCAACTGTTGTTTACTGAATATTTTATAATTCTGAATGAATTCCTTTTGATTGAAAATTAAAAACGGCGACCGTTTTTTTTGGAGCCGCAACAAACAATTATTTCTGTTATTCTGCTGATTATTTTCTTTGAATCACACAATTAAAAATAACAGATAACTTATACTGTATAAGAATGGCATCTAATATTCAAAATCTGAGAAGCTGCAACGACAACATGTTTGACGTTTGTGCTTTGGAAGATGACTGGGGTGATTAATCGGTGATCAATCAGGAATTTCAGCTTTAAAACCGGTTGCATACCTACGAAGTGAAGCCATCTCACTGTTTTCGTGGAGCGGGTGTCAACCGTCACGTCAGATTCATGTTCAGCTTGTTGTCTTGAGACGGTAGTTACATGCTGTGCTGGTACAAGCAGCATATGTCATGTTTATAAAGACGTGACAGCCAGCAGGATTCAGGACAACATACATAAACAGAGATAAACTGTTTTCACATCTGGCTGGTTTGAATAGAACTGAAGCACTCGTCTGGAAAACTTGTCACTCGTCTCCCAGACAGGTGGTTTTAGAAGGTTTGTACAGACGATGTGACTCCTATCAGAGCATTTCTACCTGTTTGGGGCGATTTTATGTATTTAATGTGTTTTCATATGATGGATAGATAGAATAGTGTCTAATTCAACACTTAGGCTTTAAAGAAGAGGTGATGATTTTGTGCTTAAGTGGATTAAGGAGGAGAACCGTTCCCTCCTGATTCACGTCGTCCTGTCAGCTGCTCAGAAATGTCCATTGTGAGACCTCTCCCTTCCCTCCCCTCCTCCTCCCTTCGGTCCCGTGCAGCCTGACTGACTGGATGTGGCCCGGTGTTGCTCCCTGCTATCCTCACTGTGCCGTTTAGCTCATGTCAGGCCTGTCCGTCCAGTTTTGCAACAGCAGCACGATTTCTGTCTCAAGCCCTCTGACTCCTCCAGGCCTCACTGTCAACAATCCGGTGATTTATCGCTGCCTTTCAGGAGGTTTTTTTTTTTTTTTTGGAAATGAAAGTGCTGGGATGACTCAGCGACGGATAAACTGTCCGACCCGAGATCTCGTGAATCAAAAAAAAAAGGCGGTTCGTAAATCCAGCTGACGCCTCCTGTGGGGTTCTGACATGTTAATGCTACTTTAGATGGATCTGTTATGGTTAGCAGCATGTAGACAGAGTGAGCCACTTGTACATGCCCGAAGGCTCTAAGTAGACAAAGCAAGAAGTGGAAGGTCAAAGCTTAATGGATTATAGAGCCCACATAGACTGAGGCTGGGAGGAGGGGTGCACACTTTTCTGTGAGCTCTTTCTGCTCTCATTGGTCGGTTCAAGTCTTCTCTGGTGATGACTGAAGTTGAGACAAGGAAGGAGGAAGAGGTTTTTTTTTTTCCGCCTGAGGGAGGGAGAGCTGTATAAATGGGACTCTGGTCTTGATTTGCTGCCTGTTGTGCCTTCGTTTCACTCGTAGCCCTTCTGCTGACAGAATGAGAAGGTTCCTTTTCTTGTTTTTTTAATATAAATTTGGGTTTGTTCTCAGAGACAGACTTGTTTTTATGTCACAGTTCCTCCTTTTCTTATTTCTCATTCCTCCATCGCTCTCCCTCTCTCTGGCCTCGGGGCAGCCAGTTAGGTTTCCTTTGACTGGCTGTCTCCTCTCAGGCTCAGAGGTCTCGTCAAAACGGTGGCGTACTCCCAGTTTTCATGGCGTCACAGGCGACGGTCCACTCCCCCATCTACTGCTCCCGCCGCTCGCAGAGCCACAGCACCGGGAGGCGGGATCATAAATCACAGCTCGCTCCCGTGTCCAGCGCCTCCACCGTAACAGCTTGTCAGTTAGATGCCGGTGTAATGCACCCACGGGCCCACGAGTAAACAGCAGCGTAGAATTAGTGATTTAAAATGCAGCAGCAGCTTCATGTTACAGCTTTTTTCTGAATATGCTGGGGATTACAGCACCACACTAATGGTTTTAATCTAATTAATTATATATCACATATGCTAAAGGATCTGTAATTAATCTCATCTCTAGTCGTCGTACTGTGTGGAGATGAACTTGTAGACACTTGAGAGAATCACCAGGACGGATCATTTAGTTGCTATTCATTTCTGTGGAAGTTACATAATGGCGGCGCGGTAATACATTTTCAAGTAATTATCTCGCTCGCCTCAAAATCACTCTGATGTCTTAGGCTTAACAAATTGTCCCCCCAAAAACAATCTTTTAAAAAGCTCAGAAACCCTATTTTCCCAGCCGGGCTGTGTAGTCCGGAGGGAAATATCTGTCTCTTTAGCTGCTAAATGTTCCGCTTTGTGCAGCTATAGTCACTAACTTTTGCCATTTGGTCCAGGAAATGGAGTGTGTATGGGTGTGTTTTTTTTATTTCTCAGCTGCCTGCATGTGGAAACTGCACTTCAGAGAGCGATAAACCAAAATAAGCTGAGATGAAGGATGGTAAAACACACAGAGGGGGAAGTAGGGAGTCGGATGATGAATCTTGGTGGGTTACAAGTGACGCCTCTGAAGGAAATCTATCAGCTTCGTGACTTTTCTTTGTTTTGGAGGTTTGAAATTTAAACGGCAAGAGTACGTATAATCGTTTACTTGCAGTTACAAGTGAATTTTAAATGTCTGAGCTTCCTTTAAGTGCACAAACCACGTGTAATTAGTAAGAAAACCCATCCAGTCCTCCTCCGACACTGTGGTAAGATTTACTTTAACCAATGATTGACTGGTAAGTAATCAGTCTGCAAATTACACAAGTAATAAAAATTTAAAGCGTGGACCTTGGTTTCATCCCACAGCTGTAAAGAGCCGGCAGCCCTTGTCGCCACACTGTCAAAACAAGCCGCGCGTCGTCGTCCTGTTCCTGTAAATCAGTGTACAATCTGTATGCTGCAGGGTTCCCAGCATTAAAGCAGCTCCCATGTAAAATTAATCAACATCCCCCCCTCTTCTGTAATTAAGCATCAGCGGAGAATTAGGGAGTGTTGTTAGGGACAGAGGAAGCCTAAAAGGCCAGACGTCAGATGAATAATTCTTTTCATCTTTTGCGCGAGGCAAACAGAAAAATATTGCGGCTCTATTAATAGGACACCTCATGTTTGAAGTGCATCAGTCCTCTGGCTACGTTCTCCGTTTGGAAAGGAGACGTGGACGTAACACGTTTCCTCCGACTCGCCTCTGTTCTCGCTCCTCCAGAGAATTTCAACTGCGAGATATTTGTTGGGTTTGTCTTCATCTCTTCTCACAGTATCTCTCTAGAATATTGCGAGGTCTCGACCTTCAGTGACCTGAGAGGACAATTGGTGGGATTTGGTGCTAAATAAATAAAATAGAATCGGACAAATGATAAGCTCAATAAAGGATGTTTAAATTAATAATGGATTCTGCTGCACAATTGCTAAATATTTGCCGCCCTGTGCACATAAACACATGAGATTTGGGTGAGTTTTATTGCTTGAATCGCCACAAACATCTGCTCACTGG